GACAGAGGGCTAATCTTTAGGGTGGAGATTGTGACAGTAAGGAGACACAAGGGGGCTCTTGGGTAATATTCTGTTTCTTTATAAGGGTGCTGATAATAATATGGTCAGTATGAAATATACAGTAGACAAAAAGCAACTGAACATCAGAGTAGTGAGGGCCCTGGAATCAGAATGCCTGTGTTTGAATTTCAGTTCTATCACTTACTTTGGGCAGGTTATTTAACCTGTCTGTGTCTCATTTCTTCATTTACAAATGGGCCTAATATCTACATCATGGGGTTATCCTAAGGATTAAAACATTATAAGACTTATGAAAGTGATTACTCATACAGCTGACTTATTAAATATTTGCAAAGTAAATAAAAATGCTGTATTCTAAAACAACACAAGGAAATGAGGAAGTGAAACAAAGACATGTATGATTTAACTATTATTAGAAGCTGCAAAAAATAACTGTTTGAGAAATGAAGTCTGATGATAGGAAGTCTAATCGAAAAGGATGTGACCTGAAAGTTGAAAGGAGTCCTACATAACTTCACTGAAAATGACCTTGGACAAGCAGTCAGCCCCTCGAGGCTGCAGTTCCTCATAGCCCAAGGAGGGCTGGCCCCATGATCTCTTTAGGATGATGCATAATAGCAGTGCAGGCACCAGTCAGGAACTAAGAAGGCACATCTCAGTCAGGCTATTTTCCAGAAGGATTCTGAAAATCTTCTAGCTTCTGAATTTCACCTATTGCTTATATTTTTAAGTATCAAGTCTATCAGCCATGATTATCACTCAGGGTCCCATTCCCTGCAGCTTTTCTTGAGTAAAAAACTAGGGCTTCTGACAGGGTTCGAAAAGAACCAGTCAAGTTGCTGTTATGCACACCACTGTAGTGTCACTAACTTCTGTGATCATGTTATAATAGCTACACTTTATTAAACCCTACTTACATGCCATATACTATAATATTTAACCTCAATCCTCAAAAAAAATTCTAAGTATATAGCATTCTCCCCTGTTCTCACCTTTTATAAATAAGAAAAATAAGGCTTAAAAATGCTTCATTAAGTATTAGAGCTGAAAGGTGACTCTGGTTTGTCTGGCTACAGAGTCCATGTTCTTTCCATGAGACATAGTCTGTTGATTTACTTTAAAATCAACCATATTCTAAAAAAAATAAAATAAAATCAATCATAGTCTTCTTTCATTTATAACAAAATTTCATCATCTGAGAAAATTTAATATAGTGAAAAATCAAATTTTGGATTTTTTTAAATGATTGCTTTTGTTTCTAAGTTAATGTCTCCTCATGGAGCTATTTAAATGAATACTGTGCAGGGAAGCTATTTAAATGACGCAGCAACCAACCAAACAGTAGGTTAAATCCCTTAAAAAAGGTTTACATTTCTTCCTTCCTACTTCCAATGCCTGGCCTAAAGTAGACACTTAACACAAACATTTGAATAGCACACCTCCCTCAATCTTGTTTACCAAAACGCTGTACTAATGGGGACCTATTCTAATATGACTCTAATAACTGAGCTTCATGATCAAAATTAAACATAAGTCACTAAATTATCCTTCCTGCTGAAGGACACTTCAGGTGAAGAGCCACTATCATTTTCAGCAAGTAATTATTAAACATCTACAAATATTTGTTTAACATAGTAATAACTCAGTATACCTTCATCTCTCTTTCCCTTCAGGTTTGGCAAGCAACAGAAGTTACAGTTCCCCTCCAGGCAAGCCAGCTTGTGTGTGGGCAGTAGAGACCATACAGAGACGCAAATGTTTCATACCATTAGGCACATTTTCCAACCTAAACAAATAGAAAGGCCCTAGGAGGTTGACCACTCCCCCAACTAGACCAAATACAAAGGCTTCAGGAGTTTGACCTTCCCCATCCAGACCCTTGTCCAGCACCTTTCCCCAGGGCCTTTAAACTGCAGCCCTCAATAGCCTTCTTCTCAGTCAACCACTAAGCTGAGGAAATCAGAGACTTCTCCCAATGTGTCACAGCTATTAAATACCTATTCCTACTTCATTGAAGAGATATTTTGTTCACTAAATTCAATGAATATATCAGCATATACTATTAATTTTTTTCTTTAAAGACCCACCCTCAGGCCCTCCCTGGTGGCCCAAGGGGTAAGGACGCAGCACTGCAAGCTAGCCACAGCTGCTTCAGTGTGAGTTCAAACCCCAACTCCAGAGTGATCCACATGGTGTGGCAGACATCTCCTGACCCGCCCGCTGCTCCCCTCAGCAGTGTACCTCCTCGATCTGCCTGTTCTGCTCCCCGCTCTGCCTGTGGTGAATCCTCTCACCACCCCTGTCCCTTTGGCTTGTACCCCATTTCTGTATGCATAAATAAATTCAAATCTTAAAAAAAAAAAACCCACCCTCCCTGATGGTACAAGTGGTTAAGTCTCAGCACTATGAAGTTATCAGCAGCCACTGTAGACCAGTTCAATCCCCAGCCAGGGAGCTGACCCACATGGCACAGCAGACCTTTTCTGTCTTGCCCACTGCTCCCCTCAGCAGTGTATTTCAGTAGATCTGCCTGTTCTGCTCCTCACTCTGTTTGAATACTCTCACCTCCCGCACCTCTGGCCTATAGCCCAGCTCTTATATGCTTAAATAAATAAATCCTTAAAAAAAAAAAAAAAAAACTATCCGTCTTCACAGAGAATGCACAGTTTATGTGTGTACTACGCAAGATAGGTGTGCCTTAACTTCCACCGCAAGCTCCCCAACTCAGTTATCCTGCTGAACTTTGTTTCCTCAGCATTAAAATGAAGGCTTCAACTAGTCTGGGGTTATTCACCTGATCCCAGGATACCTTGCAAGCTTCAGGAATCTCCTTTAGGGGAGCACAACTCTTTCTTTGGAACTTACATTAAAAAATACCCATTTATGGGCCCTCCCTGGTGGCGCACGGGTAAGATCACAGCACTGCAAGCGAGCCATAGCCACTTCAGTGTTAGTTTGATCCCCGTCCTGGAGGTGATGCACGTGGTGCAGCAGACCTCTCCTGACAGGCCTGCTGCTCCCCTCAGCAGTGTACTTCCTTGACCAGCCTGTTCTGCTCCCCACTCTGTTTCTGGTGAATCCTCTCACCGCCCCTGAGCCTCTGGCCTGTACCCCAGCTCTATATGCATAAGTGAATAAATAAATCTTTAAAATAAAATACCCATATATCTATATATGGATTTTACAGGAGAAGTTTGTGAGCTACAGCAAATTGTCACACAAGTAGCAACCCAAAAAATAACCATAGTTCATTTTTATTGGACACTATGTGCTAGACACTATGCTAAGTTCTTACATATATTAACTCACATAACCCTCCAAAAATCCTTTTTATTAGAGTCTATTAATTATGCCCATTTTATAATTGAAAAAAGTCAAGCAGAAAGAGCCCAGGCTCTTAAAACGCAATGCTGTTTGGTGAGACCATCTCTAAACCGAATGAGTCTATGCTCATTCAAATAAATGGCTTCCCTTTTTTTAAGTTCTCTTTCATTTCATAATCATTAGTTCCAAATTAAAATATTTTCACAGAACAATCAAACTCATGGAACACCCAAACGAATGCTACTGGAAAAGAATATATCAGTCGGTCCAAATAAAGCATCCAAAGGCACTTTCCAGTGCCAGCCTCCAATCTGTTTGGCTTTTATAACTGGAGATTAACCAATAGCTATATCTGAATCTAATTACTAATTAAAGCCTAAAATAAAAACAATAATCAGACTGTTGACCAGAAAAGGGGACGCAGCTGCAGCACTAACGTCTCACACAGCATACACCAACATGACAGCATCAGGTAAGATATATCTGTGCAAGGTTTGGTGTCCCAGTTGACTGGCTTCTACCCCCAACTCCCACATGACCCAGAACAACAATCACTGTGGAGCCAAACCCTGAATCACTCTTCACTGGCGAAACAGTCGTGTAGAGGAATTAAGACATCACCAACTCCAGTCTAAAATAAGACGTGAATGCTAAGTGAAAGGTTAACTTTCAGCTTCTGTGGACACCTGTACTGACAAGCTACAGTCATAACAGAGCTCCACCTGGAAACTGATTTGCCAGGCAGCAGCCCTGCTCAAATTACTGAATGACACAACATGCTTAATAATTGGCTGTGGAAGTGGACATAGTTCTTGTCACAGACTCAAAAAACACAACTTAAAGGGAAACTTCATGCCCAACTCTGCTGACCCTTCTCCACCTGGCCTGTGTCAAGAGAGAAGTAAAGGAGGAGAAAGGAAATCAGAGGAATGGCCCGGGGTGCACGGGTGAAGCAACAGGGTCAGACAGACGATGAAGATGGTGTTGGAGGGTTGTGGGCAGGAGAAAACCAGTTGGAGAGCTGGACATGTGAGCTGAAGAACTGAGTGCCAGGGTTATTTGGAAGGGGCAGGGGTAAGCAATCTAGTGGGGGTGGGGGGGCACTACTACCAGGAAGCCAGTGGAGGAGTTGGTGGGGCGGCCACAGCCGGGGAGAGGGGGCCTCCGGGAAGGGCGGCAGGTCCTAAAGGGTGAGGAAACAGCAGGGGGTGGGCAGAATTGGGCAGAAAAGGATGGGAATCCGCGGGTGCCTCCGGGAGACGGTCAGAGGAACCGGGGGACAAGCCAGGGGGGACGGAGTGGCCCCTGGCTGGTGCAGAAACAGAGTGGGGGCAACAAGGCAGGTGATCGTTGGGGCTCGGAGAGGGAGGGGGGGCGTTTAGGGTGGGAAGGCGAGCGGGGCACCCGCGCGCAAGGGCAGGAGCGCCCTGTGGCCGAGGGCCCGGGCGAGGGAAGAACACGGTGGTGACAACGGTCGGTTCAGCAGGGACGGGGTGGAGGTTGTCCAGCTCAACCCTGGCAAGCGGCCGCCACGGAGTCCCGGCCGAGCTGAGGAGAGGGAGGCCGGGCCCGGAGCGCCGGGTGAGGGAAGAGGCTCGAAGGGGTTGGGAAGGGCCCCGGGACCGCTGGAGGCCGGCGGGCGACGGCGCTCTCACCGGGACAGGTGCTTCAGGATCTGCTTCTTAATGATCCCGGCCATGCCGCAGCGGCGGCCCGCGTGGAGGGCCGGCGGGCAGCGGCGACCTCCTCAGTCGTGGAGAAGAGGC